TTTTATGCATTTTTATTTATATTGTATATATTAAACATATACGCGTAATGTAAGGCAAGAACTGGTTTTACAATAAAAAATATCAACTGTCACTCCTTATACAAGAGTAAGAGGAATAATTTGACACTCTATTATTATTGTTACTTAGTATTACTGAATGCTAAATGAAAAAAAAAATGATTGTTGTTTTAACACATCTAGCTAGAAAACCCCCTCCACTTGAGAAACTCCTTATAGAATGCTACAGAGACTTTAAATTTACAACCGTTAATTTTCACCTTTGATGTCTTCTAGATGGATAAGATTTAAACTGAGTCAAAAGTGGATGCCCAAACCCAGATTTGCAGATAACTCGAAGAATGATAGTACGGTTGATTATACTGAAAGCTTTGACGAGTCCGTAAATCCGACATTGCCTTGATATTTATTTACAAAAGCTTCACGGATGAAGTTATTAAGAGCCATCGAGTTCATAACAGCTGAGCGACCGGGCCTAAAATCATATTGTTCGTCAATAACATTAAAATACTAAATAAGCTGATATATTTAAGTACAACTAAAACGCATACAAATATAAATTCGATTTTCTGTTATTGACGTACTGTCGGAAAAGAAATAAGATAATAATAGGTAATATTACAATAAGTTTCATTTTCAACTGAACAAATCGTCAAATCGTTTCTGGAGAACGATTTTCAGGATTAAAGTATTATAATATTTCGATTAGATTAAAATTTTTATAACCATTTTGACGCATCGCTAACTGTATAATAATATTATAAATGCAATTCGTGAACTCCGTAAATCCATTATAAAAACGGTATTATTGTTATATCTATATATTATAACGTCATTATAGGTATACGACCGTTCGGTTGACTTTGTTATAATATGTACGTGGCAGCGACAGGGAAAACATTCCAGTACAAATAACATTCGAAACGTCCCGGAAGAGACATAATTTAATGTTTAACGATAATGCGTGATTCGTGAGGTTAAGTAAATCGAACTGTTTGTTGGTACAGGTTTTCCAAAAACCGTTCGAGCAATACGCCGTTCTATAGGTACGCAATAACACGTACGCGGTCTGTAATGTAATATATTATAGGTATTATTATTATAATTATACGATTTCGGATTTTCATAATCGTCAGATAGCGAAACGCTAAAATCCGTAATAATAAACCGAACAGGAGCGGACTGGGACTGAAAAAGTCACCGGGATTTAGATCTAGAGTGGTCGTATAAGTATGTATACAAAAAAAGTAGATTCTCCGATTAGTTGTCTTCTTAAAATTTAGAAATGGGCTATACGTTTTGAAGAAATGTTGAATCGTGATTCCAAACTAGAAATAGCTATGTAATTTATATAAATTCAATAAACCATCTTAAACACGTTTTCCCTGCAATGAAAACTGTTTCAAATTTAATCAACTTCTCTAAAAATGATCCTGCTGTAAATCGCGTCGACAAATCAAATTCCAGAGGAGAATACATTTCTTCTAAATTACCAGATTTACCCACAGTAATTATTCAGATTTACGTGTGTCAAACCTGCTGTAAATCCCAAGAGCCGCCACTGTAACGTCCACAGGCCACATTGGAAAATTCGGCACTGGCCCTTGGGAAATTTCCCGATATCCCAGTTCGCCCCTAATGCCAAACATTATTAATATAATACATTCGGTTACTATATAACGAAGACCCGTTTTAACTAAATACGGACCGCGGCGGTATCCCGAAACAAAAAATATTATTATTATTCTAAAATGTATTTGCGTACTATAATATTATTGTATTTCGCTCGCGATCAGTGGTCGAAAGCAGAGTGGCCCCTATAAGGATTTGCGAGAGATTTCCACGCAACGGGCGCTATGACTACAGGGGTGCCATTGAAATTGTTTAGAGTTTTGTAATTTAATATTTTTATAATAAACATTAAACATGTTAGTTAACGCCCAACGGACAATTTGAGTTTTATTATTATTGGTCATCGAGATACATTTTGTATGGACTCTGTATGAATAAAAAAGTTTATCATCGGTTAAAACTATCATTTTTATTATGGGGGCGTTTATCATAAAACTAGACCAGCTCATATAAGCAAGTAAAATGACCCTAAAGCCTAGTGTTACCTGGAACATGAAAGCAAAGTCCCACTTACAATCGTAAGCCCTCTAATTAACTAATCCCCAGGAAAATTTCACCCAAAATCCGTTCAGATAAAGTCTCCAGCATTTTTCTTTTCCGATTTTCCAAAGACAAATTTAACTATAACGATGTAAGTTGTGTAAATTTGCTTAAATTTGTTCCATCAAATTAATACAAATCCACCTTCTACATATAATTTAAATTATTAACTGAGTAAATATGAAGTTAATATATTATAATTATTTGGTTTAGTAAATTAGTTCCTATTATATTTTTTATTTTGGGAAAACAAATCATCACCAAATGCATGAAAAATGACACAACATCTCGAAACTAAAATGATTGCTAAAAGTGATATTAGAAAAGCAAGATGTGGTATATAAAACATATTATTAAAAATAAATAATATTTTTCATTAATATTGCTTTATAAACAAATATAGTTTATAATTACCTAGTTACTTGATTTTTTTATAATAATAGTTTTTTTTATCATTTATACAATTATTTATATACAAATAATTTTTTTAGACTGAACCATTAAACAATTCAGATTTTAACGATGCATTACGAATACGCAGAATTTCTCAACAAAAAATATGTTGTTCCGCCAATCTATAAAATGCCTGACATCAAAAAAATGTTTCCTAGAATAACGTTGAAAAAATATGACCAAAATACCAAAGTCCGTGACTATGCCTGTGATGCTGTGGTTCAAAAATCTACGTAAAGTTTGTTTTTAAATATAAGGATGGAAGTATATAAAATAATATAATATGTCCTTTGTTTAATTGTGTTTAGGATTGCGCGAGAGAATTTTAATAAGCGGCCATTAATGACAAACAGACCATTAATAGGGCTTGAATTGAGTCAAGAATTTTTTCATCAGAAAATGTTACAATTTGTTAAAGAAAAGGAACCCGAGCATATGGCTGATGAATTATTAAAATCTATAATTAAAGTATATCTACTGTATTATAGATTTTAATCATATTTATATTTCTTAGATATCTCAAGGTGTCATTAGGTATCAATACACCTTGAGATACCTACTGTTAATTTTATAAATTAGATTAATAAATATAATAAATTAATAGGCAGGTGACCTATGTAACCAGTTCTCTTGTATAATAACTATTAAATAGGTACCTATTAGAAAACCTGATAAATTGCATCAATGTATAAAACTTATTAGGTATATTATGTAATATTTTGCTATTTGATAAATTTAAGTTATTAATGGTTTCACTATTTAATTGTATAAATGGTGAAATAATAAAGGGTGAACAAATAAAAGGAGGTGGAATTATTTTAGAATTGCATGTAATTTAAATTGTTCCAAAAATAAAATGCGATTAAAGTTAATAATTATTTGACATAATAAGTGTTTAGTAATAAATGAACTAGTAATTTACTGAATGTTTATAACTGAACATTTTAGTAATTATGTGAAATAATTCATTGATTATTACATAGTATTGTGTGCAGGTATAATATAGTTAGTACGTTAATATAATATAATACATTAACAATTGGAACAGTTTAAACAATACTTATAATAAAAATTTAAAAAAAAAAATGTTTCCTAATCAATCAAATATTTTATTATAGAAATCGAGATCGGTTGGTTTACACAAAAAAACAGAAATACCAGAATCGATGATCGAAGATATTAAATATAACTATCAACAATCCGTAAACAATTTAAAATGTTATGAAAAAGTTAACCCTATATATTAGGGTGCCAGTTAATTATATAGAAAGATAATTATTTGTCAAATTTTGAAGAGCACCGGCGGGAAACTTGTTTCAATACATCTATTATGAGAGTCTGTAAAGTTTGAGCTCGATCAAACTTAGTTAACACGTGGCGACTTAAGCTCAAAGTTTTATAAAAAAAGTAAAATGTCACAGTTTGTTGTTGCATAACTACTTAAAATTTTATTTTATAAAAACTTGTATAGAATCATTATTATAGTTCAAATTATTTCCTAAAAATAATATATCTTTACATTTGTTCGTAGAATTAGTTTTTAATTTTTCGAAAAACTTTATTGATTTATCACCAATAAGCTTTACTAAAATGTTTTAATCCTCGTCTTCTATAAACTGTTCCAAATTCTCTTTTTTTAATATTAATTTTTTTGATGTATCATCTTCGTTTTGCGAATCTCTGTCTTGAATTACTTGATTCAATATTTTTTTTGTTACCATTATTTTGATTTCATTGTTTAATCTTTCATCAAATAATGAGAACATAGCCGTCTCTTCATTTAAATAATATAAATGATTAATTATTTTACAAATGGCTACATCAGAAATATTTTTATTGATTGTTCTATAATCATATAATTTTCTTAAAAATTGAATATCGTTTAATTGAGCTTCGTGGGTTTTTTGCGAAGAAAACCAATACTCCAAGCAACATTTCATAATAAATAAAATCAATTGCAATAGAGATTTATCTTCTTCATTTTAAAAACTCTCGACAAAATAAATATATTTTAATTTAATAAATCGCTTTAGCCATCCGTCTTGCCAAGTGATATGCTCCAGGTTTTTTGAACTGTATTCCATTAAAAGGAATACCACTCAAAAAAATTATGTAGCTCTAAGAACTCTTTATAATCGTCTCTAGGTAATGTAGTCAACATTGTACGATTTGCAAAATCTAGTGCAGTATTGTAATCATCTCCTAATTGATAATAATTTCTTTGTCGATGTTTCCTGGTAAAAAATTATTATAGTTTATTTCAGGCCACTATGCTTTAAACCGTTTAAATAAAGGTATATCCGGCCCAGAAACCAATGAAATATTACACTTTGTAAAAACTGCTACTAAAACTATCACAAATATGATGTCTACATCCAAAATACAAAATTTCTCGTCCTATTTTGCTTTCGTTCGAGAAAAACGCACGCGCCATTCAGTCTTCCAGTATTTGACGTAGTTGTGTCAAACACAAATGCTTGTATTTTATCTGTTAATAACCAATTATTTATTGTATCATATACTGCGGATGATATTTCAATTCCAGTACCTGCATACAATTCTGGAATACCTAATAATTGTTCTACACTTGGACCTGCGCCTATGATCACTAATCTATCAACTAATTTTCCAGTTACATTTTCTAATAATTTGGTATCCCAATTTAAACGCATTCAAACGTATAAACTAGATATTACTAGGTGTCTTTATAACATATTTTATTTATTTTTTTGGTAAGGGTAAACTATACAATGAAATATAAAGATACATTTTTTTTTATAAATTAATTTTAACTACAATAATGATTCTATGCAATTTTTTGTAAAATACAATTTTAAGTAGTTATGCGACAAACCGTGACATTTAACATATTTTAGTCAAACTTTGACCTTAAGTCGCTAATTGTTAACCATGTTCGATTAACCTCAAACTGTTCAGACATTATTTTTAGAAGCATTGGAACAAATCCCCGGCCAGTGCTCTTCAAAATTAACAACCTCAAAAATAAGTGGCACCCTACTATACATAGTTGAATCAATGTACAGTATTGGTGTTTCCAATTGATGTTTTTATAAATAAATTCAAACAAGAGTATATAATGTATTGGTACCTTTTATCAATAAGATTTTTTTTTAAATCTAGGAACAATATTTATTTATTTCAGATTCTGAGTGTAGCGAAGAATGTATATTGGTTTTACAAAGATGTTTATTTATTTAATTTTTTTTATCCTGTATACAAAAATTCTATCAGAAATCTTGCTCCGATATGTACGCGTGGCACCATTTCTGAATTGAAATATTATCCAGATGGTACTATTGGGAGATAATTTTTTTGATTTTTCAAGTGGTTTTCATAATATTTGGAAAAAACCAGAATAAAACGTAAGAAAATAGGAAATTTACGAAAATAATGCTTTTATTATTATTTCAATTTTGTTATTTATTATAAGTTAGTTAAAAATATTCGTAGAGACTTGAATTTTGAGCAGAAAACTTATATTTACTTTTCTGGACATTTTCAATAAATTTAAGAAATGTTTGAGCTATTTATAGATATTTTAATTTTACGAGTTTTATACGTAGTTTTTCTTCGTAGGTACTGTTCGGTAAAATTGTTAGACTTAACGGAAATGCGTGAAACTTTAATTTGACATTTAAAAAAAAATTATTTCCCTTTTTACCTATACAAGAAAAAAACAAATGCATTTTGGGTGTACCTAGAGACCCAAACCATCGCTCGCTCGGCCTTTTTTAATCGCAAAATAACCAGTCGATTTATTGTACAAATTTTTCTATTAGAAATCTTGCTCTGATAAATCAAGTATAACTTATTTTCTGAAAGGAAATTTTATCTCCATGGTAATTTAGGGAGATCATATTTCGATTTTCCCAAGAGTTTTCCCAGAAAATATGAAAAACCATAAAACATGGGAAAACCGGGTAAAACGCAGAAAAAACTAGAAAATCGGTACAACAATATACAAATATTATTAAAAATATATATATCATGCCTATTTAATCATTTTGCTATCACTATCAACTGAATTGCGTTTAGAATTGTTTTTTGGTGCCTGCATCCGTCCCCATTATCCTAGGAGGTTTTTTTTAAAACCAAAACCCAACAATAAACCTATATGAATATTTTAAAGTATACAATTGTCAATTAGTTAAGTTTGTACTTAATGCAATATTAAATAATCAATATTTATACAGACCATAATAATATTACATAAAATACAAATTAAATATTATTTTTAAATTTAAATAAATGTCTATTTCTTCAGTTAGTAATACTATTATTGTGAATACACGAATGGCTTAATTTGTGTGTTAGGGAAATACATCAGACTTTTAAAATTTTCAAGATAACCTATTTAGGTTGGCAAATTCTGGACACATACACAATTATTTATAAGTTTTTTAGTATATTCTCCTATGCTTGATTTTGGTATGATCTATACAAGAGAGTTTCTCTTGGGTAACGTCAATAGGCTGAAGTGTACATTCAACATTTATTATGATAAATCAGTAATATGTTACTGATAGAAAACAAATCAACTCGTACATATTCATTATAATATCCACAGAAACCCGGGAATCAACTTATACATAAAGTAAGTCTCTGGAATCAATTTACCGATACTGAATAAAAATACAGTGAAAATTTTTTAAAACGAAACTCTTTTTTTAACAAACAACTATATAACGTAAAAATTACTTAATAATGGTTGGTTTGCTATAAAACCCATACATTCACTATAAAGAATTAGCCACTTTCAATAACGAAACAATATTTAGCATTTAATAATGCTAATATCAATACTCAAAAGACCTTATAATTAGCAGCACTCATTCTCCAAGGAAAACCATGTATAAGAAATAAGTATGTATTGACTGCTCCGGATGAGAAAACAAAAAGGTCAAATAATTGACCGTAATATCATCAGCTAGAAGACACAAAACGTCGATTCGTAATATTAGGAATTATAGAGGGCCGATGGTGATACAGATCACTAATTAGTAGTTGCAGTATTTGAACTAAAGCTGTCAGTAAAATGGAGGAATAAAAGACAATCAAGAAAAACCAACAAACTGGACATAGAAAAAGTTAATAATTTAAAGGAGATAGATACATACTAAAAAGAAATATTAGAAAATATAATAGTGTAGAACGTAAATCGGATAAGGTAGAACTGTGATCAAAAACAGTAGGGTCTCTAACAAAAGCTACTGAAATGTTATAAAAATATAACACAAAATAAAAATCGATGGTTCAACTTGAAGTAAAAAGTCGCGATCAACAAGGAAAGTTTAGCTGGACAAGATTTGATGCGAAATTCTAAGAAATAAATGAAGAAATCAAAGTGATTAGGCAACAGAAACGCGAGTATGAGAAGAAAAAAAGTTTTAGAAGGTATTAAAACATATAAGGAAGAACCGAGACTGTTTTTCAAGAAATGTAGGTCAGTTGAGGAAGGATTTAAATCATTTACTAATTCATCTCAGATAATAGTGGTAATATAATATCGGAACTTAGCAAGATTGCAAAGAATTTTTGGGAACATTTCGAAGAACTACTAAATAACACAAATAACTGCATCGGAAGTAACAAAAAGAAAAAGCACAGGGAATTAGTGTACCATACAGAAGAACCTGAACTTCCGGCACCGAGTATCGAGGAAATTTAAATAATCTTAAAGTCGTTAAAGAATAATAAATCTTCGGGGGGATGATTTATCCCGCACGGAGTTTCTCGTCGACCGTGGATTCAAATCGGCGGACACTAAACGGCGGTCTTTATAAATAACAATGCAACACAATCCGATACAATTTATTTTAGACTCGGCGTGTAATGTAACTAAGTAGATGGTAGCTATTAATTGTATACATTCGGCTAGTAAAAATCGACCGTTGTTTTCACGCGATACCTTAAAAAAGATGTTTTATGCCTGATATTTAAAGATATTTATTTTGAAACATGTACGGAAACTCCACATAATTTTTTTTTATCTAAACCCCTTAGTATACAGTGGTTCTTAATCTTTTTAGGATCGCGACCCACATGGTTTCACTTTTTAAAATGTAGTTTATAAAAACAACTGGGATTGAAATGATTTCCCTAAAGTACCACATCAGTCAGATTTCCTTTCAGAAACTTGAAAACGAAGCGAAATTGCTGGTAAAAAAGATTTGTTCACAAATTAAACAAAAAAAATAAATAAATAAACACCGTTGTAAAACGCTCCGCTCAGAATCTAAAAACATAGATTTCTCGGAATCTACACGACTCGAAACAATTTTCGCGACCCACCGAAAATTGACTAGGGACTCCCCAGTGGGTCGCGATCCGCAGTATGAGAAACGCTGCCTTAGTACAATATTCTGTCCCAGGTATACAGTAAAAACTCTCCGATTATTTCACTCAATAATACGTATTCTTAGTACACTATCATTTCCTATTACGTACCTATATCATTTATTTTCCCTACTCCCATTTCGAAAATTCAGTACACGTCGTCACTGTGTATTATAGTTGTATACGATATTGTTATTATCAAAACGACAATAATATACAATTACGGCCGTTTTGTTTCGTATATCATAATATCAAGCGTGTGTAATCCGAGTCTTTTAGAAACATTGTGTTTATTAGGTATATAATATTATTATCTACGCCTATACTATTATAATATGTACCTATGCGGACGAAACGTTTAAATCGTGTAATTGATGGGACGGCGGCGTCGTAGCGGTTTGACGATTGAATTACAGCGTTGAAAAAAAAAAAAATAATAATAATAATAATAATAAAAAAATCGTGAGTGGCCGGCCGTCCGTCGTCGGTATTTACCCGCGTGATGTGTGCACGGGGACCCGTCGCCCCCACGTCCCACCTCCACCACCGCCGCCGTTGTCGAATTAAATTTAACCGCGGTAATAAATTTTGTGATCGCGTATACCGCGGCATATATACGTATACCGTGGTATATAGGTGCATACATATTATATTATTGTATTTATTATACTGTACGCTATAAGAGACGAATCGACCGGGACGTTTTTATTTCGATTTTTTTCTTATTTTTTTTTTTTTTTTTTCAGTAATAATCTATTGCGCGCGTTTCGAGACATCCAGAATTGTCGTGGGATTTTTTTTATTTTGGTTTTTTTTTTTTTTTTTTACTGCAGGTACGGGTTACGGAACGACGCACACAGGGGGAACGTTAAGAAAAAATGGTAAGAATTTTGACTATTTCGGAACGATCCGTTCTGGTTATACACACACACACACACACACACACACACACACACACACACACACACACGTATTTATAAGTATTATTATAATGTATAAATTACAAGCGTGAAGTGAAAGACATAAATTAATTCGTGTCGGCGGCGTCATGTACGCGTATACCCGTAACAAAAATAATATTATTTGTCGTCCGCTGTAAACGTCACATTATATTGTTTGTACATACTGCAGGTATATATGGCGTACGCGTCTCGTGATATTATAACGATATTCGTACACGACGAAAAACGGCGTCGGGCATAATAATAATAATAATAATATTATTATTATTATACACACGACTATAATACGATGATGGTCGGTCGACGACGACGACCACGACGAAGCCGCGAATCGTCGTCGGGGCCCCGTTAAAAAGTTTCTCCGCCCGGCATAACATAGCCGGGTAACGTAACGAACGAAAATATTATTATTATTAAAAAAAAAAAAAAAAATCG